CTCTTCATGTGGTTATATCCATGTGAGAGTATTAATTTATAATGTGTGATGAATAATTACTGAATCGTTATTTCATAACATGTGGACAAATCACTGTGTCTATCAGTAGGTATAACTATTATTGAGTTGACGAGTGACCTCTGGAATATATATTTGGAACTTTTCTGTATACGTAAATCTATATAAAGCAGAGCTTCTATCTGTTTGTCTGATATCACATGTTTTTGGGAAGAACCGACTTAAACAACCTCAGTGAAACTTGGCAGAGGAACTCCCAAAAGATCATGTGTAAATGGAAATGCAATCTGACGAAAGTCCGAGTTTGGCTAAATGCTACGATTTGTCGCTCAACTGATCGTGGAGGTCGGTAACGAAATACACGAAACCGACGTTACACAAAAGTAACGTTTAATGCGGCTCGTAGTACGTGTACCTTTGAAACTGATAAATGGATCATGTGCTAACTCTCAAGGGAGATTCTAAATGAATTTAAATTCTTAGTAACAAGTAAATTGTCAAATGTTGAGTTGTATGTTAATTTTGAAAACTTTGTTCATGAATACATTTAAATCAATTTAATTCAGATGTTAAAATATAGACCCATTCATTTCACTAACAGCTCACATTTGTTTGAACAAGAATTTCTCGCCATTAGATAGGTACTTCAAAAATTACTTCCCTCTTGACTTTATAAAGAAAAATATATAAAAAAGTCTTACTTTTAAAGAAACAAAGTATCACAGTTCTTTCTAACACAAGAAAACACAATTTCATCTCATTACTTTAGTGAAGGATTGTTTCTGCAATTTCTGAAAAAAAAACTTTTTCGAAGACTACTCTCAAAAATGTTTTCAGAAGTGTTTATAAACTTTATCATATTTTGTTCTTATAAAAATGAAATTCATAAATTAACAAAGTTGCCAGTTGTTTACAAATACTCCTGCTCTTTGCACTCAAAAGTTTTCATTGGCTCTATCACCAGACGTTAATATTAAATACATTAGTGAACATGCATCATCTGATCTGTGTAACAATTCTCGAGTACCAGTACAAGTAAAAAATGAGTTTGATATTCCTATTAAAAAAATATAGTTTTGACATTTTTATTTCAGCTTCTAATGGACAAAGTTGCATCTGAAAGGCAATCAAGATAATAGGTCTAACTATTAATGTCCAAAAAGCTTCTATTAACTTGTTACTAAGGTGATAAAGTAATCTAAAACTAGGATGGCAACATTTCACCAGAACGCTCCATTCAAAAGGATGAAGTCATGGCACCTGATATGTCCAAGTTGAAGACACAGTAGGAAGCAATTCTTCACCAAAGGAGAATAAACCAAGTGTATTGCTTCCCCTATAGTAAAAATATTGTAGATTGATTTCTTTTGGATAACTAGTATGGTGTTTAATGAGAAGAACTCTCAAAGAGGTTGCACAGATTTCAAAAGGGCGTTCCTCATAGTTGAATACCTGGAAGACAATTCATTGAACTGAGACTTGATCAGTATAGATTCATTAAAGTAGTTAGCATAATTTTGCATTTGATACCTATCAAAGTCTATTTCACTTGATCTTCTTGTTCCAACACTTGTGTTCCCAGTAGATCAGTCATATACATTCTGTTACAATGTGGGTAAGCTTTCATCTTTACATCTGACACTTAGCACGAATATTGTAAAAAAGTCCAAGTAACGATTGCGGAACTAGGCTTTAACAAATACTTATTAATGCTTTAAATGGTACAACAATCAGCTGAGTACGTTTTAGGCAAGTAATACATTCGTTATGATTGTTGCCTACTGTTCTAATATTCAGTCTTAAAGAATTTGATTTGCTCGAGGATGCACCAGGAGCGAAATGTGAAGGAGGTTCATAGCTGGGATTACTTTTATCAGTTTCTCTATCATCTGGAAGGTGATGATCAGAAGTACAGGAATTCGAATATCAGTATTGTTGATGGAATTTGATACAAATGACATCGCCTTCGCAGGAGTGTTCTTCTTCCTTTGAAGGTACAACTTATTAATTAACTATTACTCAGTCTTTACATGTACCTTTTCCCTTTAAGCCCACAACATACATGCTATACGACACATCTGTATTCTTTTGGCATGGGTAAATGATGACTCTTTATCATCACTAACATCAATTCAGTGTGAGCCTTATGAGCCTCTCAGTAAGCAACGTAGCAAAACATTATTGGTTCTATTGTACAAAAGTGTCTCGGTGTCATTGGATGACATAATTTCTAATGTGTAATTATGCACCAGGCTATAATGAATAAATGGTGATTTAATTGGCTGGTACGTAGGGTTTACAGAACATTATATGTAAATTCGTTTAGTGATTACTTTTTTGCATATGGTTCAATGTGCATCACAAAATAAAATATCATATTTTAACATTTATTACATCTTATAATCACAAACAAAATGCTAGAGGCTGAAATTGTTTAAAGATGGCGCTCACATTACAAAATGGATGCAAAGTGGGAGAATATAATCTCATACTGAGCACAACTACACAAGTGGGTCTGCTTAGAATTCAATATACTTTAAAAAAATAAGAATGTGACAATACACAAATTCATTTCTGTAAATTTTCTCTTAGATAGTTTAATCATAAGTGAAATAACTTCCATAGTAAAAATTTTTGGCTGTCACTTAGCAAAAGTTCCCATTTTCTAAATACTGTTCTTTAGGAAAGTGTAAAGGATATTTCAGATATCACTGAACTCTCTAATTAGTGCGATGCTGAACAGTTGTTTGGTATTTCTAGTATTTGATATTTTGAAAGTTCCTTCTTAACGGAGTCACTTTTTATTAAAACGAAAGGTCTGTTCGAGGAAGGTAGAAGAAAATGTTACACCAAACTACATAATAATCTCCAAAGGTCTCACGTTTGATTGAACCTACGTACTTCAAAATTGGAATTAACAGGTCATTTAAAACAATGATTTAAATTCAGATTTTGGAAATGCTCAAATCTGAACCCCCGTTTGAGGGTCAAAGAAAGTTTGGGGACTCAAAGTATATGATCCATTGACTTACATGAAAACTGGCATGACCATGTAACGGAATAGCTTAAAATAAATGTGTACATTTAGATATTTACAATTTCCGTATTAGGGTCCTTAAGAGGATCGACTGCACGAGTTTACTTTCAAATTGACAAGAACATGTTGTGTAAATTTTTTATGTTGTTGTTTACCGTACATTTTCACTGATAATAGTAAGTTACTAGTTTTCATAACAGTGAAGGAGAGAAGGTGATGCAATAAAGACAGTTTTGATATTAACTATTGCTTTTGTACATTTCAGTAGCTTAGGGAGTAATATGATAAACGAGAGGAAAGTAAAATGTTATAAATATCATGTTACAGGTTAAAAGTAGTAACTGAGTCGCCCTCTGTTGGGTATGCAGTCAGTGAACACTAATCCATAAAATCGAAGTTCTAAAGTAACGTAAAAATGGGGCCAACGTCCTATCCATATTTCAAGCCATGAAAGACATTTTGTTACCTGACAGTAATTTCTGAATCAAGCGATTATTCTTATATTTAAAATAAGTCTTTGTTAAAAAACAGATATAAAGAAGCCTATTACATAGAAGAAAAGTCAGAAACGCAGAAACGTGATAATAAGAAAATGTGAAAGTTTATGTGGACTGTAGGTGTAAAGTAATAGAAATATTATGTAAATATATTATTATATAGAAAATCCGAAAGCTGCTGGGACAAAATAAAAAAAGTACTGTAAATTTCGTAGTGTCTTATTTCAAAAATCACTTTTCCTCAGATTTTGTTATTTTGAATCTTATATTATATAGTGATATTCCTTGTTAATCTTAGAAAAATTGATAAAACGGAAAAAAACATCATTGAATATGTTTAATTCTCTTGATGGCTCAGCGATAAGTTTACAAAGTTACAAGCTTAAATCGGTGTTCAATTTCCCGCGATTGACAGAGCGCAGTTAGCAGAATATGTAGTTTTGAGCTAAAAAAAGAATATACTTAAGTTACTGTTAATTATAAGCTCACAATCTAATTTCTAGGGTAGTTTTGGGTATTGTCCAGCGGAGATAAGGAAAGTAATATTTAACGTCGTAGTTTCTCTTCACTTATATTCGATCACGCCTTGTCTAAGATATATAGATTGTTTTCTTTTTTCAAAACATTTAGAGGTCATGCATATTGTTTTCACTTTGCAGGAACTTATATACATTGAAAAACAAATAAACCGTTGTAGTGTATTTGCAAATTTGAGGTGTGGAAAAAGCAGCGGAACACATTTAATTTCAAACACGACTACACATAATCACTGTCAGGTGACAAAATTTATTTCATTGCTTGACATATGGATAACACACTGATCCATTCTTAAGTTACTTTAGAATCTCGATTTCATGGATGAGTGTTTACTAACTGCATACCCAACAGCTCTGAAACACTGTTCTTTCAGTCAGTGTTTTTAGTGTTACTTGGCTATTAGAGTATCATCCATTTATTATCTGTTAAGTAAAACTATAGGTATTTATTGGTTTGTTGTCTAAATTCTGCATTGCGTATGTTGCATCTTGTAGATTTTTTTAATCAGGTCGTTATCATTTGCATCATAAGATGGAGGTAATCGTTCAGTACAAGTTCGCAATAGCTATAGGAACACATTGCTAAATTCCAAAGTGCATAGTTCTTATATCTCCAAGCAACATTAAAAGATTTAACTGAAAAAAATAACTGAAAGTTTTTGGTCAATTTAACACACGTCGTTAGGGAAAAGATTTCTAACCTCAGCAGTTATTGTCGTTAGCGTTATGATAAACATGGTCTGTCCTTTCGAAGACAAGCCTGAAGTTGAGCCACTAAGAATCGATACATGTCTCCTATGCTGCCATTGCTGCCAGTAACGATCACGTGACATAGCGTATGTCTTGGCGTCACGTGTGGTTCGAAGAGCATGTAACGTTTCAAGCCCGCCAGCCACCAAGCAGTCGATCGTGTGGTGCTCGATGTTTACCTGCCCCAAGTCTAGGGCTGAGACTGTATTACCTGAGAAGATAGGGATCTAAGAAAGGTGCGTGATAAACTAGACTAAGTAACATTTAATAGTCAGCACATATTTCCTAATTTGATTTACTTCTTGTTGACTAATGTTGAAACCAACTATTTACATTTAAGGCCTTATTCCAACTTTTTAACGTTTACCGTATAGAAAATCAGATTTATAGCTAAAGGAAATTAATTTAGCTTTAGTGCATTGTTTTATTTTCAAGATTACAGTTACAGTCACTTAAAAGAAACCAGCAATTTCTTTTAAACAATTATGATAATAATTAGCATAGGTCAACTCCTGGTTACAGTAATCTGGAGATGTGTAAAGTTTGATCTAACAGTATTAACTTAGCCTGTTGCTATTGACGTAAAAACAACAAAATGTAAACAAAGACCAAGTAAGTTACCCAGCTGATCTACCTATTTTCTAACTGGATTTAATAAATAATAGAATGAGATATAAACTAGGAAAAGGAAAGAACTTCGCAGGTTTCAATACATCTGTGTATTTGAAGATAAAATAAAAAGTGAAGGATGGCAGTAATGAAACACACATGTAAAAGTCTAGTATGATTAACAGCACAGAAGCATGTTATAAACATTTGTATTTTTTGTTGTTTTTACTTTAAGTAACAAATTTATATGGTCAACAGTATGTCGTAAAGACATCAGTACTATTTTACAACTGTTTTTGGCATACCTAGCACTTCTTTTATTTACTTGAGTGTAAACAAATGAATCAAAAATGACTTCATAGATTCTTAGATTTGACATATCTGTTTGTGATCGACGCATAAGAGCACCGTTTGACATTGCCAAATATAAATGTGAACTATTTTGACAAGGAATGACTATTCTTCGTTATTTACATCATTGCTTATAGAAAAGATTACTTTCCTTTCGGAAAGACAGAATTTAAACAATGTTGTCACATTTTCAAAGCTTTAAGTAAAACTTAATTGATACAGATGTTCAAATGCAGAGTTGAAAAGACTGTAAAATATGAAATACCTACAACAATAACAAAATACTTCTGTAACTATAATCTGCTGTTAAACATGTAAAGATTTTTAGGTGATAAGAAACTGTTTGTAAATAAATTTTCATATCTACCGATAAACAGCTTCACAACTGGTACTTGGTTTGAGAATATAGTATTTTATGAAATAGTAAAAACACATCGAAACAATTTTCAAAGGTTATATTTCTTAAAATTCCGAATGTAAATTTTAAAGAAATTTGTAAAACTTTTAATTCTTTGACAATTGTAATGCTGCAGAATGGTGCCGTGGTCATAGTGTTTTTACGTATTTAAAATTTTAGGCGAAATTATGCTTTAAACTTTCAAGTTCAAGATAAAGTGTATCTATATGTGTATACAAATGTGTATATATATACTGTATTGGAAATACTTATGGAAACAATAAATAAAATTGGTATAAAATGATGAAAACATTGCTTCCCGGTATTGTACGAATATGAACTGCACCGAAATACAGTTATCTTTTGATAGTTTACACTGTGACTGTCTGTAATCCAACCAAATCAGCCAATGCCACACCAGCGTGATACTTATATAAAAGTACAGGCATTCATTGTGGTGATGCATTCATCGTTTCCAGGAAAGAAATTCCACATAACAAACTTGTAAAAAATAAAAGTTTTGTATATTCTATGCGACTGATTGAACCGAAAGTTCATGTTGCAGTAGGACCTGTACGGAAATTCTGAAGATGGTACGAGAAACTAGTACTCTTGACAATAAAAGCAGCCAAGGTAGAAAGCTCAAACTATTCATGCTGTTAAGTAGCTCATAGCAGGCATATTGCGTGATATACTACAATTTAATAGAGACTTTACCAATGACCTAGCTGTAAGTACATGAATCAATGTTACCTCCAGAATAGTAAGATACACATTAGTATTCAGTGGCCTCGATGAATGTGTAGCAGCTCAAAAACCAATGCTCAGTAGTGATAACCAAACCAAAAGGCTGAAATAGACATCAGACTTAAAACAGTGGAAGAGTAAAGCTGCAGGAGGGTGCTCAGTGTGCATTTGTCAAAATTCAAATTATTTTGCGACAATCAAAGATAGTTTGTCGATACAGTGAGGAGTATTGTATTACGATCAGCATACATCTGCAGGGAAGCTGCAATTCAACCAATGATGTTGGAAATCTACACAAAATTGATGGCATCCTGACTGCTGGCATTTCCTTATCCATCATATTATTATGTCAGGAATAACACCTGTTGAGCATGGATGCACCTTCCATCTACTTAGTCATCTCAAGCGCGCAAAAATGTGATGAAAAGATACCCGAATAATAAAAATATCGATGAAACACTCGCAAACAGTCCCGCAGCAAAAATTATTAAGGCTGTATTGGCTTATGTGGAAAATGAGTAGGTTTAAACAGCAAGAATTGTAACGAGTAATACAGGACAGTTGGAACAATTTTTCACAGTCATATTCATTAGTAAACTTATAAAGCAAGGCGTGCTATTAAAAGAAAATACATAATACCAGTGCATTGTACAGTTTATTTGATTTTATTTTCTTTATATAATTTATCCACTACATATTTAGTTGAATGCAATTACTCATTATTTCTGACCCAGGTAGGTGCACCACATGTGTGGTCAATAATTATTTCAATAATGTATTCATTAATATGAAACATTATATTTTTTCTGGTTCATTAACTTACTTGTTTTTATTTTTTTAGTGACAAGTTACCAATTTCTTTGTTATATCACAGTTTTGTAGTAGATGAGAAAGACGTAACACAACAGCCAGAAATGTTATTATTAGATAATAAGTAAAATTATAAGAGAGCGAGAAGGCCTGCGATGGTTTTATTGTCTTGAAATTTCTACATGTTCCACAGTAATCCCTGTACACTGAATCCGATAATGATATCCATTTTTATTCATCACGTATCGATTTTCCACAAAACGTCATAACACAATACATAAAAGAAAGACCACAACATGTAGTTTTGAGATTAAAAGACGTAGATTTCATA